ATACAATTAATCCATGAAGTGCTTTTCCTGATCCCACTAAATAACGCCCTACTCGCTAAGTATATATGTTTCGATTGTTCTTGGACACTACACACCTCGCATCTCCCTCTTTCCTGTGCTCTCTCTCTTTCTCTCCTACCCATCTCTGTTCCCCTGTAGTCCCCTGCGTGTCTCTCTGTATCCAGCCCTCTGTCTGATGGTCTCTCGGGCTCGGACTCTGGCTCTGCCCACAGATACCTTTCTGCCTTTCTATTGCTGGTCGCCCGCACCTCTCCCCCTTTCACCCTCCTTCCTGCCACCCCCAGGACTCACCCTTGGATTTCCGCAGCTCCTCCACCAGACACTGAGCCTCCTCCTGAATCCGCTCCTCCACGCTCCGCTTTCCCATCCCGAAGTCCCTCATGGTAGCCACAGAGAATCGCCGGAGGGCCTTCCAGCGGTCCCCGTTGGCAAAGACCACGCCTGGGGTGTGGGGAATTGTGCATTGCAGAGGACATTGGAGAGAGGCGCAGGGTCCTTCTTCACCCATTTTGCCCCTTCCTTCATGCATCCTTCACACGGCCCTCCCAGTACCTTGGAGCTCTCACCATATCCCTGGAGGACTGGCTCCACAGTGGCGATTTTGCCCCGGCCAGAGAAGTCCTCAGCCTGGTCCACCAGGGCCTCCTTTATGGCCTCTATCCCACACAGCATGACCGCGGGCCTCTGTCCCAGGTATACCGTGAAGACATCCCCGTATTTCTCTCGGAGCTGTGAAGCATACCCACACCCTGGGTTATATGAGTCAGCACACACCTCAGTGTTCAAACTATTAAACACTCACACACCAGACTGGTAATTAGCTGCCTTCCCCAAGACCCTCCTCCCCAGGCTGCCTTTTCACCTTGCCAGGACCCAGCAACTAAAGGTTTAACCCTTGGCCCAGCCTAGGTCTGGTCTGATTGGTTGGTGCCCTAAACACTGCAGGTGATCAAATGCTTCTAATGTCACCCCCACCCACATAGCCTTGAGTCTGGCCACTTCTCCCTGGCATCTCAACTAAAGAATTATACTCTTTGTTATCAGCCATTTCGTTTTGCACGGGTTCAATTACCAGTGGAAAACAATGGTCTGAAAATATCAAATGGAAAGTTCCAGAAAGAAACAACTCATAAGTTTTAAATTGTGAGCCAATCTGGGTAGCATGATAATACCTCACGTGAACCCACTCTGTCCCACCTGGGATGAGAATCACCCTTTTGTCCAGCATGTCGACACTGCATACGCTACTCACCCTGTACAATGTGAGTGGTACTATGGCCATTTTAAGCTTTGTCATTTATAGAGAGCTAATTGTTTACTAGGATACTTTTCTGAGCAACTATAAGCCTAAAATATTTCATCTTCAAGGAATTTCATGGAAAGGACTCTGACAAATACAGGTTTCTATAATATAACTTTGAGATCCTACCATTGGATGGGTAAGAAATCCCAGAACTGGAGGTTCAAAAAACTGCTAACCCAATATCAAGCTGAAAAAAAGTTAATTAAATACCAAAAAAATGATTTGGCAGATTTTCATGCTAAGTCATCCAGTACTGAAATTGTTAAGATATGCAACTTCAATTAACTGGGCAAGATTGATTGAAGTCAAATTAACTATGATAAACTATTTAATAAATAGTGCTATGCATGTGAATTGGAGAAAAAAATTGGTATTTAAGAGGATGGTGATCCAATGTTAAGCATGCAGTCATAGGGACTGGATGGTTTCCTGGTACTTCCTTAGTTATTATAGCTTCCATTATTAAAAGCTCTGCACTCCATGACTCATCATGAAAGAGATAAAATGATCCAAACTATGAAAAATATATTGTGACTGTTCTAAGATTGCTAAAATGGTTTATAGCAATGTTTGGTTTGTGAAGCCCATAATTCTGGGAAGACGATGAAGACCTCAGATGGTACATTTCTGGCACCCGAGGTATCATTTGAACACTTGCAGACGGAATTCACTCAATTGCCACATGCAATACATGTTTTCTGGTGGTATAGATGCTTTCCTACAGAGCAAGGCCAATAATATAACAGTAACTAAAAGGTTATTAGAAATGTATTTCCCTTATGGGGCATTCCTGGAGAAATCACCAGTGAAAAGAGTATTTGTTTCTCTGGGCAAGTTGTAAGATGGTTAAATAAGGTAATACAAACACAAAGTCATTAGGCAAAGATAACTGAATTGACTGGATTGCTTTGGTCAAAGGTATTACTGTGATGGCAATCAGACCACTCCCACAGGAAAACATAGATTGACCCTTATTAAGTAATTATGGACCTGAAGTCTTGGCTCCACATCTCCCAATTCAAAGGAACCCTGCCAGACTTCCGGAACTGTACAACTGTTGGGGACCTTCAGGTTCAGCTGACCAGAGACATTTTTCCCCAGAAGCAGAGAGCAGCCTAGATGTGGACAGTGTGCTTGAAAACGCGGATCAAGACTTTTCTGCCATTAGGAAAGCATTATCTTTTTTTCCTTTCTTCCCTATTTTCTGCTGTCCTAATCCCTTCCTTTTCATTACAGAAAAACCCATGAGACCATAATCTGTGGGTGGCTTTAGCAAATACTTGTTATGCTCCAGCAAGAAAATCGAGCAATTGTTGGTTTTGTGGGCTAATGGTTGCCAAAAGAGGAAACACTGATGCCATTGCCTCCTTGCGTTCCCAGTGAGAGTCAACCTTAAACCCCAAAGGAAGGGTGGAAAGCTATCCTTGGTATTCTAGACATCACTAATAGTTCCTTTCCTACACTCACTGGTAACAGTACCCTGACCTTTTCAATTCATAACCTAATTACTGTGAAATATAGAAAACTTATGTAAGTGTTACCTGCCAAAGGTATATTGTGCTTCCAGTTGTAACATGCATGAGACCTGAGGACTACCTATGAGGGTGTGAATAATTGCTTGCATCATGATTCTGGATTAATCTGAGTAAGGTCCCTTTGGACTAAATGTGGTTATGCACCCTTACAGCATGCTATGAAAAGTTTGCAAAAAAGTTAAGCTTCCCACTAGACCTTGTTCAAGAACTAGGGAGACTTATGGCAGGACAAATTTAACTAACCTCTGCTCAAATGCCACTGAATTGTCCTCTTGTCCAGTCCCGGAGGACCTCTTTTGGGACAGCTGAGGATTTGGTTACTCTGCTCTGTCTCCTCACTGGTTCAGATCTTGCTAAATGGCCTGCCTCAATCCAGCCTTCCAAATAGCTTTCCCTGAAAGTTCCCACAATACCTCCCATTATGAGAGGCCAACGTGGTCGATAGCTGAAATTAGTACCAACCTCAAAATATAAGATGAGTTAGTTTCCACTGAACAAAGTTTCCCATGGGGTTCCTCGAGGCCTGAGGTGGTATTGGGGTGCCCGCTGTACGGACTTTAAGACTCATCTGTACACTGGGGAAGATCTCAGATTTTATAGCCAATTAGACCTCTGAGCGTTTCAGACAGGTAAAAGCCACACTTCACAAGGTGGATGAGAATATTTATGTTGAACAAAAACAATTCATGGAAAATTAAGCTGTTTTAGATCTTCTTTTTGACCATGTTGGGGCTTGTATACAGAGAGCAGGGAATAACCAAACATTGCACTTACCTTTCCCCTGATTTTACAACTACAGACAGCTTAATTCGAAAGGTGGCTGATATTGCTGTTTCTCTAGCCTCTGTCTCCAAATACTTTAATGACATTTATCAGGAGAAAGGAACACATGATGTGTTTATGGGGGCAGCTAACATTTGGTAAGCGGGCATCCTGAACGGTGAATGGCAATCCAGGCTATCCCAAGGTTTTCTAAGTTTTACACATCTTCTAGTGAGTCTGCAGGTTACTCTGACTGTGTTCCAGGCTAACTGTAAAAACGGATACCTCTTTACATCACACCATTGAATTGCAAGCTCTGGTCCTTAATCTCTGTTCTGCTCTGAAAAAAGGCTATGACTCCAATATAGTTATCTTTATTGCCTGAAGTTTGAATTGTTTGATTTTGTTTGAGTTGGTTCTTGGAGACCCTTGTTAAGGGGTATAGTTCAGTTTCCTGGTCCTATCCTCCTGATGGTCACCACATTAGCCTCTCTGAAGTGTTATATCCCTTCAAGAGTCTCAAATGCTTGTATGCTGCCTTACTTTGCGTGTGAAAAGGTCTCCTTACAGTTAGAATAACAAAAAGAGAAGAAAGCATACAGAGTCGTCCAACTAATTGACATTACGAATTGTGAATTCCATACTGAGACCAAACAAGTCCATTATCGTGGTGACAAGTCGGTGTCTGTGCCCAGGGTTTTGGTCAATCTCTCAAAATTGTGAGGCTGACCAGGAGGGGGGAATTGTTCAATTAAATTAAATTTGGCCTAAAGCTACCTCTGTACATAGTAAACTATAACCTAACAAGCTGCAGACCAACTTGGGAGTATATTCTTGCATCAAGTATTCAAGTCTCAGGTACCGAGAGCAGCTGAGCTTTCAGCGAATCACAGGCTGCAAACTGCCTCAGACATGTCCGAATGAGGCACATTCTGAGCTGTAACCAACCAGGCTATTTCTGTATGTCACTTTCTTTTTCTCACTGTAAGTCTGCTTGCCCACATTGCTGGGTGATGCTCTCTTAACCTTTACTGGTTCAGGGTGCTACCCTATTCTGAATCTGTTCCTTGCTCAAATAATCTCTGCTAAATTTAATTTCTTTAAAGTTTTTTGTCTTAACACCACCATCCACACTTCAGCTTATGGGCCTTACTCACCAACTTTCCCCACCCCACCCCTGAGCCTCGAAGCCTGCCTCACTCTATCCACAGGGGGATCCCCAAATATCAATGCAGTAAGCAGCCCACCCTCAGACCCCAGCCATCTGCACCTTACCCTCAGGAAGGACTTGAGTAGGCCACCTCTGTGCATCTGCAGAAGATTCCCCAAAAAGGGCAGAGGATGGGGACCTGGTGGGAGGTAGCCACGGGTGCTTGGGCGGCCCTTGACCAGGAGTAGCAAGAGGCCCATGAGGACCGCAAGGAAGAGGAGGACACTGAGCTCCATGATCCCAGGCCGACTTCTACCCCACTGCAGACTCCAGCTGGGCCTTTTATCCTGATTGCTCCTCCTCACCGAGTTATGAAACTTCATCCAGTCCCCGCCTCCCCTCTCATCCTTATCTAGGTGTGTTAACTTAGAGGGAAGATGCAGGGGAATCTACACTTCCTGCTTTGGTGGCACTGTGACCTGTTCCCTGTCCCTTTACTCTCCCCGTAGATGCTGGCAGGGATACTGTGGTAGAGATACTAAAGTCCACATGAACATGTGAGTGTGTGGGGGTGTCAGTGTATTCATGTGTGTTTAGGTTTGCGGGTGTGGGTGAGCATGCACTTGTCTACTTAGTTGACTGTTTGTTTATGGTTGCGTGTATTTGACTGCCTGCTTGTATCTGTGTCTGTGCTTATATAATGATTTTTATGTATGAAGTGGTGTTTGTGTTTATGTGACTCTGCTGGGGTGTGTTTCTCTGTACAAGTCTGGGTGTGCTTATGTGTGTATTCTTGCATGTGAGGGGGTTCTGTGTATTTATATAATTTCATATGTGAAGGTGCGCTTGCATTTGTGTGGTGGAGGTGGTGGTGGTGTATGTTCAAAACTGAGCAGCTGACCGAAAGGAGGGAACTCTTCAATTAAATTAAATTTGCCCTAATGCAGCCTTTGTAACCTGGCCAATAGTATTCTAACTTAGACTGCAAGAGACTGTGTGTGCTGTGTTTGTGATTCAATGTTAGCGCATGTCCTATCCCCGTCTTTGTAAGTTCTACAGATATTCAGCATCTATCCACAGTGTCCCCTCCTTCACCCTCACTTCTGTGATGGAACAGGTGGAAGTAATGGGAGAAAGAGAAGAAGGGGCAAGAGATGCAGAACTGGTGAGACTTGGAGGAAGGGTCAGGTGGAAAGAGCTGGAGAGATTGAGACCTGCATGTGGAGTGGTCAGATCCTCTCGGTCTCTGATAGCTCTGACTAGTGCTGGGAAGTTCACTCCACGCCTCTGGCTAGCTTCAGAGTGAAAGAAATTTCTCTGACACTGTCTTCCTACCTCCTTCTAACTTCATATCTCTGTTTTCCACATTAGACTCTGAATCCAGGAGTGCAGAGACTGGATCCACTTTGATCGATGTCCCCATTCTCCCATCTGTCTCCATTGCCACTGTGAGCCTCTACCCATCCAGCCTCTGGCAGGGTCAATCCACATTTTCCAAATATGGGAATAAATGTGTCCATGTTCACTTGTCTCTGCCCGGCCATGACTTTCCACCATCAGGTAGCAACATTTTTGCAATGTTAAGCAAACCCCTGTTGGACCCAGGACCCTGACCCTGGCAGTTACTTCGACCAAGGAGGGAGGTACAGAGAGATTATGTTTTTAAGGGGTGGAGGGTGTACTTTCCTGACCTTGGAGAGCTACCAGCATGGACTCTCTTGAACCTAGGACTTCGATCTTGCTGTGCTATGTGATGTGGCACTAAGCTTAGGTCCTGATCCAGCCCTGGTGGGAAGTCATGAAATGCTTTACCCTCAGTAACTCAGTAGTCACGCTTTGAGGTACTTATTGTTGTCATCCCCATTTTACAGATGGAGAGAGTAAAGCACAGACAGGTTCAGAGTCTTACCCAAGGTCACAAAGTGGATTAGAGCTACATAGTCCAATATGGTAGCCACTTCCTTCATGCGGCCATTAATTGAGCACTTGAAGTGACCAATTAAAATTGAAATTTAATTTACGTTTAAAAGTGAATACTAACCCCCTACTGTCTCAGAGATTAAACTGGGCATCCTAATGCAATTCACACTGTTAAGAAGACCACAGGGCAGGGGAAAAGAATGCAATTCAAAGAACTCCATCTTCCTCATCAACAAGAGACGGGGAATCTGCCCACACACATAGCTCACCACTGCTACACCTTACAAACTGCTGGCAACTGAGAAAACCACCACACTAGGGATACCTATAACCAATACATCTGTCCAGAACCTAGACCCCAACACAGCACCCAAAACCAAGGCCACATGTTCTTACCAAATATACGTTACAGACACACTCTTAAGAGTGAATGCAGAAAACTCTCCATCTGAACAAAAGAAAATCAGAAGAGAAAAATCAACAGCTACTCTGGATGAGGAACCAGTATAAGAATGCCACAGGAATGAAAAATCAGAGCTAAAGGACACCCCCAAAGGGGCACACCGGGTCTGTCTCAATGGATCCCAACCAGCATGAAAATATTAAAATGACAGGTAAAGAATTCCAAATAAGGATTGTAAGGAAGTTCAATGAAATCCAAGAGAAAATGGAAAAGCAACTTAAAGAAAACAGAAAAACAATTCAGGAAATGATTGAAAAATTTACTGAAGATCTAGACATATTAAGAAAAAGATAATTGGAATTTCTGAAAATGAAAAATTAATTTCAGCAAATAGAAAACACAGCAGAAACCTTTAAGAATAGACTATACCAGGCAGAAGAAAGAATTTCAGAGCTTGAAGACAACTCTTTCAAATTAACCCATCAGTCAAACATGAAGAACAAAAAAATCAAGAGGAATGAACCAAAGCCTAAAAGAAATAAGGCATTATGTAAAATGAACAAATATAAGAATCATAGGCATCCCTGACGGCAGAGAAGAAAAAGCACAAGAACTAGAAAACCTATTTGAGAGGAAAATTGAGAAAAACTTCCCTGATCTTTCTAGAGATTTATGCATCCAGATATAAGAGGCTTAGAGAACACCTGGCAGGTTCATTGCAATGACGTAATCACCAAGACATATAATCATCAGACTGGACAAAGTCAACATGCAGGAGGAATTCCGGCAATCCATGAGGCAAAAACACCAAGTAACTTACAAAGGAATCCATCAGGCGATCACCAGGCTTCTCAGCAGAGACCTTACAAACCAGAAGGGATTGGGACCCCATCTTCAGTATTCTTAAATGCAACAATTCTCAGCGAAAATAAGTTTTATATATGTATCCTGCAAAAATAAGTTTTATATATGAATAAAAAACAAAGAGTCTTCCAGACATTGAACATCAAGGAAATCTGTCATAGCCAGATCTGCCATGAAGGAAATACTCACAACTGCATTATACATGGATCAGCACAATAGAAAGCTGCCAATGTAAAATCTCCTAAAAGCTAAAACTCCCAGTTCATGTAAAACAATAGCACAAAAAAGGAAAACAAAGCAATAAGGTAGTACCCAACATGATGAACAGAACGACATCCCACATATCAATTCTATCAGTCAACATCGGTGGTCTGAATGCCCCACTCAAGAGACACAGGCTGGCTGAATGGATGAAAAAATGCAATGCAAGTTTCTTCTGAGTCCAGGAAACAAAACTAACCTACAAGGACTCACATAGTCAAGGTGAAGGGATGGAAAAAAGTATTCCATGCAAATGGAAACAAAACGAGAGCAGATGTAGCCATTGTCATATAGGATAAAATGGATTTTAAATTAACAATGGTACAGAAAAACAAAGATAATCATTACATAATGCTAAAGGGAGTAATTCAACAAGAAGGCATAACAATCCTAAATATATGTACACCTAACACAGAAGCTCCCAGATTCATAAACAAATTCTACTACATCTAAGCAAAGAGGTAAACGGCAACATCATAATTGCCAGGGATTTCAATACCCCACTGACAGAACTTAACAGATCATTGAAGCAGAAAATAAATGAAGAAACGCTAGACATGTATGGGACTGTAGAACAAATGGACCTAACACACCCAATGTTTACCAAACAATCTACCACAAAACTACTGAATATACATTTTTCCCATCAGCACATGGAACGTTCTAAGATTAACAATATATTAAGCCACAAAATATGTCACAAATCCAAAGAAAATCAATATCATACCACGTATCTTCTCAGACCACAGTGCAATAAAACCAGAAGTCAATTCCAAGAAAAACACTCAAACCTACACAAACTCACCGAAATTAAACAACCTGCTGCTGAATGATTATTGTCAATAATGAAATTAACATGGAAATCAAAAGATTCCGTGAACTACGCTTCAAGATCTGACTTGGTGGGGGAAGGGGCACAAAGGCAACATACATAACCTAAACATCTGTACCCCCATAATATGCTGAAATAAAAAAAAAGAAAGATTCTATGAACTGAATGACAAAGAGAACAAAAGCTATCAAAATCTATGGGATTCAGCAAAAGCAGTCCTACGGGGAAAATTCATCGCCTTAAATGCCTACATCAAAAAGACAATCACAACTAAAGGACACAGGGAGCATTGTAGCGGGGAAGGGCATGCCTCTAACCTCACTAGGGTGAGGCACAGAAATAAAATGTAACCATAATGTTTTTACCTTCATAATACTCTGAAATAAAAAAAAAAGACAAAAAGATTACAAATTAACAACCTAATGACACATCACAAGGAAATAGAAAAGGAAGGGCAAACTAAACTCAAAGCCAACAGAAGAAAAGAAATAAGTAAATTTGGAGCAAAACTAAAAGAAATGGAAAACAAGAAAATAATACAAAGGATGAACAAAACAAAACATTGGTTCTTTGGAAGCTTAAACAAAATTGATAGACCTTTTGCTAGATTGACAAAGAATGGAAGAGAAGGGATCTAAATAAGTTCAATAATAAATGAAAAATTAGATATTACAACTCATACCACAGAAATATAAAATACCATCAATGAACAATAAAAAATTCTATGCAAATAAATGAAAAAATGTTGAAGAAATAGACAAATTCCTGGAAACACCAGACTCAACCAGGAATAAATAGAACTCCTGAACAGACCAATAACAAGCAGCAACACAAAAAATGGCCCATGTCAGATGGATTCACAGCTGAATTCTACCAGAACTATGAAGAACTGGTACCCATACTACAGAAATTATTCCATAACATCAAAAAGAAGGGAATCCTCACCAACTCATTCTGTGAAGCCAGCATCACCTTGATATGAAATCCAGGAAAGAACACTCAAAAAAAGAAAATTA